GTATTAATGTTTGAAGGCTTAAAATAATCGTATTCAAGAAACTAAGGCATTAAACTATGGAGTCAATTTCTTTTTAATAATATAACGGGATTTACTACCGTTAATTCAGCTATTATAGCCCCAGAATACTTTTAAAGCACCTTTACGTTCCATGTAGAATCTCGACGGAATTTATTTACCTATTTATTTATTTATTTATTTATTTTTTTTTTGCTTAAACGACTCAAGAGACACTGTAGTTAAAAATATGCAGAATTTTCGATCTGGACATATAAAAAGTGTTTAACTCGTTGAGGCACACTGTGTATTGTATAGAGTACTGCTGCTATTCTGCCGTGCTAAGGAAAAACGCCGTATGAGCCTTCAGGCGTTGCCAAATTTCCTCAGGCAAATAACTAATTTATAGGAACATTTTTGAATATTTTTCTACCAATTTCTCAAATAATTTTTTTTTGTAATTTGATCTAAAGTGTCTGCAATTTTCAAAGGAAAAAATGTATAATTTTCCTCAAAAATAAACATTTTATTGAAGGAAATTTGGTAACTATCGAATGCTCATACGGCGTTCCCCTTGTCTTCAGGTCAATCTTACAAGGAAGCCCCTTGCAAGAGGCCATTTTTTTGTAATTACTCCCAATTTTTTTTCGTTATATAATGGAATTGCTTGTCAAATTCTGAGGTCAATTATATTTAATTGTAATTTATACATTTCTTCCCCCCCCCCCCCTTCATTTTATTTTTTGCATCGGGAGGTCGAGGTTTTGTTGATTTTTTCGGATTTCGAATACTGTAACTTCTCTTCTAATTGGCCGATTTTCATGAATGAGACCTCTTTTAATTCGTGTTTTGACGGAGAGTACCTAAAGAAAAAATTGCTAAAAACACGCGAAACAATTTTTTTTAAAAATTGGGCGAATCCTAGCGTGACGGTGAAAGGGTTAATTAAGCGTAAGTAATGGGGCGAGGGTCTCGGCCGCGGCGGGACCCAAGTCCATTGTTATCCGACGAGCACCGATGAGATGCCGACGCAGTGATCAGGCGCGTGGGGAGGAGAGGGGTAAGTGGATTCCTGTATGAGCCATGTTTAACAAATGGTTTACTGAGTCTCGAGGCTCATCACAGATTGCGATTACGGATGCACTGGCTGGCCTCGGCTATTAGAGCAGTGGTACCAAATTTTGAAAAGCATAACAGGGGTGTGGAGATCTGTCAAAGCAACGTTTTGAACAAAACGGAGTAGTGAAATTCTCATTCCAAGAGGGCTGGCTTGCTCAGCAATCCTCAAATCAGTTCGCTTGCTTCTGCTTATATATGCATATTTTAAATCATCGCGGCGCATTCTTAGGTTTTTTTTAAAAAAACCAAGTAACGTAGACTCTTGGTATTCATTACACATAAACTAGAGAGCCCCAGAATGAGAAACAAATTTAAATCATTATTATTGACGGACTAGTAAACTTTTTCCACGCTTTGGAAAATCTCAGAAGTTCGCGGTAGTCACTTTTCGGTAAGGAACTAAGGGACTCGGTTATTGTATCGAGTGGGGGGTCGAAACGGTCGCAAAGGCGGTATACTACGTATACGCGCCAAAATTAGTTCAACATTACGTTGGCAAGTCCCCAAATTTCGGGAAAAGTTAGAAAAAAACGAAATGTAAGGTGATTGAATTTGACCGTTTAAATTTCGTTTTTTTTTTAACTTTTCCCGAAATTTGGGGACTTGCCAACGTAATATTGAACTGATTTTGACCTTACTGAGATAATGTGGAGGCAAATCTAGGGGAAATTGGCTTATTTTGCGGGAAAATTGAATGACCTTTGAATTGACGTATTTGGGGGTCCGCCCCCCCCCCCCCCTAAAATTAGTTCGAGGTGATTTCGGCAATTTTTACTTAAAGGCGGACACAATATAGTAAATTTTACCGTTCCGTTTTTTCCTTTCCGATAATTTGAACCGGGGTTATGATTTTTTCAGAAAAGGTCAAATTTGACCTTTGACCTATCATAACTCGGTCAAAAATTAAGATATTGATCTGCGGTTTGCGCCAAAATTCTTCGTTTTTTATGCTCTTTCGAATGAGGTATCACAAGATAGGGGTTGCCATTTGAAAAAAAAGTTGGGGGGCCCCCGCCCCCCTCCTGAGGTGGACCAAAATTTTGACCCTCCCTCCCCCCCCCAAAAAAAAGTTGGTCTCCTTTGAGATAGAAACATTCCCAAACTTTCATTTCCCAAGCTCAATTCGTTCAAAAGTTAGCAGGGGTGGGACGGACTTTTGTTACACCCTGTATAGGTACTCGAGTGTCCTTTGGTAAACTTAAACTCGACTTCGAGAGCTGATTCTCAAAATTTGATTTTTTTTTTGTCCATTGGTGGAACATTAATTGAGGTTTATTAAAGTTCGAGTAAAATAACAAGGGTTCGCTCCTTCGACTGCCTGTATTTTCAGTACCATTTACTCAATGTTAACCATTCCGGTGCCTATTAAAAGCTCTTGAAACGGTCTTTCCACTTAAGAGCACCAAATTTGATTTAAACTTGGTTTTTCTTTGAAAGTATTATTAAGTCTAAAATTGAAGTACCCATCTCAAAAAGGGGTTCATAGAATCCTACAAATTTTCTTCTGAAGGTCGTTTATACCTGTACCTACATACGTGCCAAAAATCAAAGTGGACACTTGGTGGAGCCAAGAGATATGGTCAAAAAAGCTGTTTCATAAAATTCAACCCATTTGAGTGATTTATTAAAGTTCTGGGATGACTTGTTTTGAGACCATTTTATCAAGACAAATACTCTCAATAATGCACTTTTTTCCAATTTTTCCGAGTTTTCCAGGTCAGAATTTACAGAATTTCTGATTAAAATCTTTGCACTGAGGTCTTGGGCTGCTTGACACGATAAATTTCTTCTAATTCTTTCGAAAAGTTAAATTTTGAAATTGAAGAGAAAGAAAAAAGATTTGTCAAGATTCACTTTCTCCGATAGAACTTCACCAAGAAAGAAAAAGAAAAAAAATATTTATTTGCCGTTCATCAATACTTAAGAGCTATTCACACAGCAGAGAAATCCATCATTTTATCAAGGTCTGTCTGGTTTCAGTAGATGCGGGTCCATCAAGTAATGGAAATAAAATTCTACCCATATCGACGGCGTAAGTCTGCAACCACGTATCTCGTTTGAGGGGTTTGAAAATCTCTGCCTCTTAATTATGTTTTTAAAGGAGAACACATTGACATCATTTCTTGAAGTTTTTGCAGAATTTTTTTCGCACAGAGAAGAAAAATCACGGCAGTTTTAAAGAATTTCCGTTCAGCAGTTTTTCCTTTAAAAAATAAAGAATGACAGGAAGCCTGCGACGTTGCAAACCAAAAAATGTGGTTGCGGACTTATACCATCGTTTTTGTGTCTATTATGCTGTATTTGACTAGGGGGCCATGTCCCAAGAGCGTTTCGGCCCTCTAAGGTCCGCTTCGCAGATCTCTCATGCATTAATCTAGCATGCAATAAGACAAAGCTGTATATAAAAAATTTCCATCGGCTACTATATTAACGCTTATGGGGTGGTGTAGTTCATTTCTTTTCAGTACCTACTTCCTGAGGACAGAGATCAAATAAAAAAAAAGATGATAAATTCTCAGAATTATCAAGGACGTCAATTATAATTGAGGCATTTTTCGGTAAAAGGGCGTTTGAGATTCCCAATGCTACTACGATTGTGCAATGTGGTTCTCTAGTTGTAGGTAACTTGTCCGACAGTTCTGCGAAGAGTCTTTCCTCACTATTGTAAGGAGGTACCTAAGTTGATTGTTAATGAATTTTATCTGCCACAAACGCTATAAAAAATTGCACCATTTCAGCAGCAATGCAAGCCTAAATCGCCCTTCTATCAAAAAATGCTTCAATTACCTACATTGTACCAGGGCCGGATTTACCTATAGGGCACTGGGGCACTTGCCCATAGCGGCAAATTTTGAGGGGCGGCAAATTTTGGCACTGGATTAATTGAAAGTTAAAGCGAGAAAAAAGGGAAAAATGGAGACAGAGACGGAGCGAAGTGAAAAATGAGCGGCAAAATGTATGAAGGAAGGGAGTTGACGCTTGACGGGAGCGGCAAAGCTGCCGCCCCTCAGGTCCGGCCTTTGAGCGCTAGGATGATCGTTCGTTGGAGTGATACTAAACAACACGGCAATTTTAAACATCGGGGCAGACTTGATAATCAATTTAGACGTTGATGCTCTGGTTGACAGCTTTGCTAAACTGAAAACCCGGAGAAAAATTTTTTAACCTGATTTTCCGAAAATACATTGCAACTAATACATTGAGCTACACTAGCTTCAACTTTGTCTCCACATTTTATTTTTGTCTCATCCATCCATTCCATTTTATATATTCGCGGCGCATTTTGAAGCAGCTACGCGCACACGCCCAGGCGGCGCACGGGGGGGGGGGGCAAGATGAGATGGCGTGGGAAGTTGGGAGTGCGAAGAGGGGGAGGGGGAGGAGGGGATACTGTTGACAATATTAGTGGCGAAATATTGCAGACCCAGGGGCGGCAAAAAGCTAAATCCGGCCCTGCATTGTACAATGAAAAAGAAAACAATTTTGTGAAGAGAACTTCATGAGTCACTGAAAACATCTCTGACATCACAGATAAATAAATTAAAGTCAAAATTGAAGAAGAAACTAAGTACTTGAGAGCACAAGGTAGCACTAAAGGACGAGTTGCTAAGTCGCAAGGAAAAATGGCCTGAAATAGTCGGAGGAGAAAGTGGCAATGAGACATTAGGGATAGCGGAAAAAAGTTAGAGAGGGAGCAGGTGGTGGAGTGAGAGCCCTGTGTGATTGAGATAGAGGATTGAGTAGGCGCAGAATGTGCAAGGAGGGGTAGCAGACGCAATAGAGTATGATGTGTTCCCATTCACAAAACTTCCATCCATAGCCTCTTAATCGACAAATTTTTAGCGTAGGCTGCAAATGACCCCCATTATGCAGTGTATACATACCTTCATCATTTGCCATATTTTGGTAAGCTGATAGATTGAAAGCCCACTGGGTGGCATGAACATAATCGTTGTTCATTGTTGGGTAAAGTACAATCTAGACTTGAAAAAGGAACAAGAAAAGGCAATTAATGACAATTAAAACATTTTTAACTACTTCCAAAGAACACAAATCCAACCTTAAAAAGTAAAGTAGGGTATTTGCCAGTCAACATATCAGGGTGGTTTCAAGATAACTGAAATAGCTTTGTCGCCAAGACAGACAACACATTTTTCAGTCATATTTTTAGGCCTTGTCTCCACGGGACGTTTTCATGGGATTTTTCCCAAGTTCAAATCGCAGGAATGAAACTTCTGGGATTTTTCCCAGTTACTGTCTCCACGGGACGGGGCTTATACAGTCCTGCGACTAGTTTGCGCGGGAAGATAAATTAGTTATAGTCGAGTATTTAACCGGGATTAAAATAATAATTGCACTCAATTGACAATCAGACACATTATTTTAACTAAACAAACATGAACAATGCAGTAATGAATAAAATATCGCATGATTCGTTTTCACTTCTTCTTCTTCTCTCAGTGGGTCCTAGGGGTACAAGTACCATACTTGGTACTGGGAAAAATATTGATTAAGTCAATATTTTTCCCAACTTCGTAAGTGGGATTTTTCCCTGGGACAAATCTTGCGAAACGGCTCGTGGAGGCAAGGCCTTAGTAGTATTGATAATCGCTCAAGTTTTTTTCTCGCTCAAGTAATCTTCACAGGGTTACAGGGTTGCGTATTGTAATGCTTTCTAATCATTTATTGCTCTACTTCTCAATTAATATTATGTAAATTCTGAAACTGTGCTGTCTGTTACGCGGTAAAAAGTCAGCGTAACAGACAACACATTTTCCGCCATACATAAAATAAAATTGAAAAGTAGACCAATAAATCTTTGAGAAGCAATATAAAACGTAACCCTGTGTAGATGAATACAAAAAAATTTGAGTGATTATCATTAATACTAAAAATATGACCGAAAAATGTGTTGTCTCTTACAGCAACAAAACTATTCCAGTTTTCGTGAAAACACCCATCATTACTTTATTTCATTGCTGCTGAAGTCTTGAGGTGATAATTCAGCATTTCAGATATTTGGAGTGCTTATATTCCAATTACATACTTTCACAATACTTGACTTTTACAAAATCAATCCTTACTGTAGTATCATCATGACTGTCAGGCCATCAGGTCAAATGAAATGAATTCTTGGCCACTATTCCTACATATAGGTATATTTCCAGGATTGTTCGAGGAACCTCACACCCCCCTTACAGGATTTTATGCCCAAACTGAAGTCCCATTTCCTTGGCACATTGAACTGGTCTATGGATCCTAGAGCCGAATTTTGATGGCACTTTTACACAGAAATACAACATCAGTTGATGAGCCCGAAATGAACAACCAGATGATCAGAGACAGACCTAAGTGCAGTTGAAACTCGTCGAAAGAATACTTAAGTATTGGTAGAAGGACCAACAGATTTCGGCTCTGGTTCGAATAACACACCAGACCCGCATTTGTACAGGCCACCATTTTCGCACAGTTCATGACAGAAGATTCAGTATTGGGCTACAACGGTGAAACAAGGGCTGTGATAATGAGTCCAAGAGATCCCTTCACCTCTGGGCATTGAAGAGCAGGACGCATGTAGTTTGCAAATAACCCAAGGAGTGTCTGCCTACTCATCTGTCACTTATTTTTGACTATTATTAAGCCAGTTGGTGAGAATGCCTCCTTGCTTAGCATCCCTCGCTTTCACCCAGCCTCTGCTTGCGTGCTGGGAGGAGGGGTCTCTGTAACTAATTATCGTCGCATTCTAATATTGAGAATTGGTGTGGGCACCAAGTCCTAAGGAAGGTGTGCAAAGTTCGTTCTTATATCTAATTGGCCCAGATTTTGCTTTGTGTAAGTGAAATCTAGCAAAGCAAACATTTAAGAGGAAAAAACTATCCAACAGCGCACCAAATGCTGTTCTACAACGTCACATTAAGGCTGATAAATGCAGTGATATTACCTGCATTATAAGATGAAGATAATCAAGCAAAATATTATCTAAATTTTAGGGGAGGAATCCAAGATCCAAGGCAATACCATCTACCCATCTAAGTAGGGATTGTCCAAGGGTGATAGACCGGCCAAAAACAGTACTTAGGTAATGAATTGCTGATCATCACGGTGGATAAGGGCTAACGTGTGTGTTGTTTACTAGAACGTGCCCGGTATCCCAAAAATATTAAATTTTCGGAGACTTTCTTGGTTCACGTTTCAGCTGTAAAAATTTCGCTGTAAAAATACTGACTTACGTTAGAGCTAAAACTTCATGTCTCAGGACACAGGTAATCAGGTGGTGTCATAGAATCGGAGAAAACATTATTCATCATTCTATAGTGGAGTGGTGAATATGGGTGTATCAAAATATTACAGAGAGTGTGGAAGGTTAGAGCATAGAATAATAACTAGCATGTTAGAGCATGTTAGATATGGAACGTCGTTTGGGACTTTACTAAAACAGCACTCTCGCAGGTGCGTTGTTAAAGTCCACAACTGCCCAACGAAAATTACCCGCTGAGCGTTGAGCTCAACGAAAGCGTTGGTAAATTCTGGTGGATTTACCCGTTTTCCAAGATGGCTGCTCAGCAAACTGCCCAACAGCTCAGCGAGGTTTTCGGACGTCCGTGAAGCTGCCAATGAAGATCCCTGCCAAGAAACTACTACTTTTTGAACACCCAGTACATATCGATATATATCGAAACAAAATGTAAACATATAGTGGCAATGAGTGGTTCCCAATCCGCCCAATCCCAAATGAATACTGATAAGAATTCACCAAAAGCATGGGCAACGGCATGGGTTGCATTTGCATGTAAATTTGAACGACATCGAACGGTTACTTATATGTTTTCAAGCTGAAATCGCGTGTAGCAGTGCACTGATTGTGAGTCTTTAGTTTGCCTATAATTCAAAGGGAAATGGCAGTAAATAAAAATGTAATACTACTGTGAAGTTTACTAATTTCTATGAAGTAAGAAATGCCTCCAATCCAAATCTATCCTGAAGTTCTGCTACCTTGAAAGCAGGATCTGGATTTCAAATGTCAATGTTGTTGGTGGTGAGCCGCCCTGCAACTGTCCTCAATGTCCTCGCCTTGAGTGTTTGTGTTTTTTTATTAGTACTGATTCAATTCCTACAAGTGCAGCTCAATTTCCATGGTGTCGCATCAGGACT